CACCTGGGCTCAAATCGGTTTGCCTTGCCTCGCCTCGCCTCGCCTCCACTCCACTCCATTCGACTCAACTCCACTCGACCACCCGACTCCAGTTGACTCCACTCAACTCCACTCGACTCCAGTTGACTCCACTCGACTCCACTCGACTCCACTCGACTCCACTCGACTGGACTCCACTTGACGCCACTCAACTCGAGTTGACTCCACTCCACTCCGCTCCACTGGACTCCACCGACTCAACTCGACTCCACTCGACGCAACTCCACTTCACTCCACTCCACTTGACTCGCATTGGGAAAACGAGGCTCGAGGGTACTGCTGGTTTAAGAAATGGATAGGAGAAGAAACGGAACAAACATGTAACATGTCACAACAAGGGAAAGAGGCGAACCTCAAGGTCCCCTTCGCATCTGCAGCCAGGAAAAGGAATCGGGCTTCGAGCCGCCTGAGGAGCGCCTCCCTTCCACCCTCAATTGCATAAATATCCTCATCCCAATCGCCAGCTTTTGATCCGTCACCTGGCGCAATGGACTTCAATAAAGGGCTGAAGAGACTGTCAATTCAAGGGACATTGATGGGACTGACTTGTGTGAGTGATAAAACAACAATGGTTCCGCATGCATTCAAAGTTGCAAATGTCAATCAAGTTCAATCAACTGATAATGCCAATTCAAAGTTGTTCAAATGCTATGGGGCATGTTTCCATGGCTGTTGGACATATGGCCTACCTTCTTAAGCCACCAGTACTTCTGAAAGTCACGGCCGCATGTGTGCCAGTCATTGCTACGGTGACGTTTCCACTCGAATGAATTTATGCCAGTGCCCCTGGCCCATTCATCCCAGCACGTCATGGCCCGCATGCGGCCGCGACTTTCGGAAGTACGGTTGGCTTAAACAATTGTCTACATGACATGTCAGCATGTTTCATCCCACGCACACCTAGTGTGAAAATATAATGCATTGAATGCAAATAGAAAAAGAAAATGGGAACATTTCTTCAGCTCCCTGTAGGGCCTGTACACTTTTGTATGCTGATAATTTAATATTTTAATTTTTTATATTTTTATATTTTAATATTTTTAATATTTTAATATTTTAATATTTTAATATTTTAATATTTTAATACTCATAAGTTCGAGAAGAAAAGTATTTGGAAGAGAGAGAGAGTTGTGGCACGGTGGGCGGTGTGGAAGAGGAGATGCAAAGAGAGAGAGATCAGAAAAGCGGCAAATGCCTGTGGAGGAGGCAGCGATCAGTTTCCTGGATGCATCTGACTTCTATTTTGGCTAGATTCAGTCCCAGAAGTTCAGTGGACAAATGCAGCAGGAATTGGGAAGCTTGACACAGTACAGGCAGGAACAATCAGATCCGATTCACATGGAACGACGGCGACATGAGGGCAGCCGGCGGCAACACACTCGAGGACGTGATTTCAATTTTCAACGCAAAGTTGCTCCTGTGTGCCGTCAGTTAGTTCTACCGTCTTCACCCGAATAGAACGCCCGGTCATTATAGCCGTATTTGGTGCACTTTTCAGTCCAGATACAGCTATAATAACCGGGCATTCTATTCGGGTGAAGACGGTAGCATCGGCATGAAAGGGTAAGTGTAGCTGGGACAGAATCGGCGCGCATCGAGTTGAGGAGCTAGCGGGCCTACCGTCTTGGAAAGAAGGATAGAGTAGGAAGCTTGTCGAGGAAAATGGAGGAACAGGGGTTGAGCCCTCTACCGTCTTCACCTGAATAGAACGCCCAGTCATCATAGCTGTATTTGGCACAACCTTCAGCCCAGATACGGCGATAATTACCGGGCGTTATTTCGGGTGAAGACGGTAGTACAGACTTTCCGGGAGCGGAAGCCCCTTGACCATAACGAAGGGACACATAGAGTGGGTTCCTGATGTCAGGGATGCTGGAACCGATTTCCATTTCATAACAAAAATTCAAAATTGAAACGGTATTCACCAGTTCGAAGTAGCTGATGCAGGACCCAGGGTTCGATCCCTAGTTCCCCAACTTACCTGTGAACAATATCTGTGACAACTTGAAGAATTGAACCTGCGACCTGTAGGACCGCCAGTGGTAAGTAGGTCTGTCGTAGGTCTTTAGGTAGCCAGGRTTTGATCCATAGACCTGTAGAGTAGAAGTCCAGCTGCAGTCCTTCTAGAAGGTTGGCAAGTGGTCAAGTGGTGTGACTAAAGCAAGCCCATGTTGGAGAYGAGGACAAGTGGCAAGGGCAAATAGTAGGACCCCAGTGCAACTGCACTGCGTCGTAGGGTTGTCACTATGCAGTCATGGGAAAGTCTAGAAAGTACCAGTCCGGTCCAGCAAGTACCACGGGGGGGACTGTGTGCATCATGGGCCAGGGATACAAGGCAGACCAATGCAACACAGAAGTATAAATCAAGAGGCTGCGTCCAGCCATTCATTCATTCCTGCGGAAGCTCTGCGGAAGCGCTGCTCGGGCGTCTTGTGCAAGGGAGGTCTGCAGATGGCCTGAAGACGAAGTGGGCAGAAGTTAGTGATAGGCTAGTTAGCTGTTAGTGGCCATGCGCCATAGCCATAGACAGTTAGTGAGTGTGTATGTGTGTGTGCAGTGGTTGGCGTGCATGGTATCCAGGGTGATCCGGAGTCGAGTTGCGTGTGAACTCTGAGTCGAACGTGTAAGTGAGGGCGCCCAGCGCCATAGCCAACTGAAGTGAACTTGGATTTGAGTTGAGTTGCAAGCTACCATATCTCCGAGTTTGAGTTGGGTGCACAGCGCCAAGTTATTCTCATCTGTTGCATGCATGTTTGAGTGTGAATTTGCAAGACTGATTTCAAAATTGCCTTTCTTTTCTGTGAAAAAAAGAAAGAAAGCTACATAGTACAAACAGATAGACAGTCACCAACAAGCTTCCTTTTCGAAAAGTTTGCCTTTAAACCGCCAGTACACGGCCCCAGCCTTGCAGAACGTTTTTGTCGGCACAAGCAAAACTCGGACAGGCCCTGCGGTGAGGATCGCCGTTGAAAAAAAAAATCCGCGACCTTCGAAGTGGTGCGGGTTCCACGATGACACCCACGGGCCTATGTATGGTGTTCTGGTGCTTTAAACCACCCAACTATTGTTCCAATGCGGTCGTTAATGCGCCACGTCTTGCTGGGATCGGCCTACTGGGCCAAAATGGCCAGAGGGCGCTAGGCGAAATCTGAACTACCTGGCCGGTCAGTTCGATGATGGTACCTCAAGGCCGTCCATCATCCATTTCGAAAAAAAGAAAAAAAAAAAAGGAAAGCAAGTAACTTGAAGTAAGTAACATGAAGAAATGGATCTGTTCCCAGGACCAGTGCCAACCCTCTACCACTCACACTGGGACTTTCCTGGATGCATCTGACTTCTATTTTAGCTAGATTCTGTCACAGAATTTCAGTGGACGGACGGCGCTACTCATCTTGAGAGTGCCTATCATATGGGACTTTCCAAAGTGTTCCAAAAGAGCGATGAGTGGAATGTCTTCCTTCACCGTGGACAGCGAGATGAGAACAAAGGAAACCAGTAAACAACCAGCAAGAGGGAGAAAAATGAGAGAAGTTCAGAGAACAGAAATGAGAGCAAGCCCTCCCCCTCACAACTCGATTTCTCTCCCCCCCCCTCGTCCTCTCCGGCCCCTCCCCGCTCACAGCTCCACCTCCCCAGCTCGCCGCCCACCCCCAAGTCCAGTCAGCTACCCCCAGGTCCAAGGAAACCTTTGCATTCCATTTTGGGCATACTCACACTCGTACCTTTTGGAGACGGACTCAGGCAGCAATTCCGGACAGATGCATCCCCAAAACTCCACTTGTGAGGACGCACTTTCTAGGGCTTTGCTCCAAACTTTGTAGCAGGCATGCAGACTGTCTTGATAACAGTGTGTCTGGACACCAGCATACAGATGCCCAGTATGGACCAATTAAGAATATATATTTTTCGAAATTTCGAATGATTTTCCAAAATGCAAGGCCGATGACGTTCTCGGCAGTGGCGGCCTGTATGCCCTAACTTCCCGTACGTGGGGGACGTACACCGGCAAACACTGGGAAAAGCGTGAAGTATCTAGGCGGCGGTGAAAAAGGGCCCCGCCTACCAGCCTCTGTCCAGAAGGAGTCAGTTAGAGACCAGACCTTTCTGGTAGGGATCCTGGCTGAGGCCAGGGCAGGGCAGCAGATACTCGGCAGGCTGTCGCTGACTCGCCAGCCTGAGCAGCAGTACAAGGGAGGGCAGCGCATCGCACCTAGCCAGCGGCACCCATATCTGCACAGGGAAGAAGTCCGACACTGGTGTGCGTGGGCCCTGAGGCTTAGGAGGAAGGCGGCACTCAAAGGCGGGAGACCCTGTGAAGAAGGGGACGACCATGGAGGAGGACAGTTGGCGAGGGACTTACCTAATGATCACCAAGAAAGGGCTCCAGTGTGGGGACCACCATTCTCTGGTCAGGCATGGATGGGAGGAGCTTCGTACTCTGTGGCACTGTACATTTGAGTATATAGGCTACCATCTTCCTCTGAATAGGATGTACGGTCGTGATAGCTGAATTTCGGGACACTTTCAGTCTAGACTCTAGATACAGCGATAATTACGGTACGTTGCGTTTGGGGAAAGACAGTAGGATATCTAATAATAGACGAGCTGATTGCACAGGCAGGTAGAGAGACCAGCACGAACCAAGCCATATTTTATTGTTGTCGAACTGATCATTGGGAGGAGAGAAGGGGACTTTTTCCCTTGCTAAAAATATATTTGAAAAACAACAAGAAGGGGGCTTTCCATCATGACGAGGCTTCAGTATCGTCAATTCTTGTGCTGGTGTGATTGTTGCTTTGTGATTCTGCTTGTCGCCTTGTCGCCATGGCGTACCGGTCAAGAGTTTGTTTTTTTGTGTGTACGTCAAGAGTGTTCATTCAAATGTTGCTTTGTAATTTGAGTTTCTCTGGTGCAGTTTCCTTGCAAAACTTTCAATTTCAATTGTTTTTTTCCCTCTACTTTTTATCACACCCTATTACCATAATGCTTTTTTTCAAAGTGTCGTGAAACGAGACTAGTGCTTTGAATTTCTTTTGGAACTGCACAGCCACAAGAAATTGGAGATGACCTGCCCAGCCACAGCATTGGCATAATGCTTTTTTTCAAAGGCCCTTGTGGCTGCAATCAGACTCGCTTTCTTCTTCACTCCACATACATGCAAACAGGTGGCAAATCAAGCTGGCGCTGTGCGCCCACACAAAGCTCAGAGATACTCAAGTCGAGAACACAGTTTAGTTACAAACTCACTTCCAACTGGCTATGGCGCTACGGCGCCCACACATTCTTTGTCCACCTCTGTGTCCACACACTATTCGCACGAACGTGTCTCTGGATCACCCTGGATATCCCACGCACACAACTCTGCACAAAGCACACACACACACTGAACTCTCCTCTCTAAACTGCAGCGGATATGGCCACTCTACTGCTACTGACTATGGACGAACTATCCCCCTCTTCAGCCCACTTCAACCTCGGGCTTCTGCAGACCACCTCGCACAAGGCGCCTGGGCA